AAAATGAAAGAAAAGAAATAATAAAGATTTCTGCAAAATATCTAAAATTGGCAAGGATTCGTTTACCAAATCAAAGTAAATTGCTCAGATAAAAAGCTAAAGAAAAAAGTGTTTGAACCAATCTGCAAAAATGCTAAAGACAAACTAGTCATCATACATACACTGCTGCTTCAGCTACTGATCCAAAGTTATAAACACTGCATTACATGGTGGCAATCAGAGATTTATCAATAAATATCTACCGATATGTGATGCCAAAAGTACCTGACAAGTACAGTTATTTAAGATAAATGGTTCATCGAAGACAATGTGCTCAGGAAGATGTTTGTTTCATATCTAATTTCTTTAATGTCATCTCAGTAATCATCAACAGCTTCAGGACAGAGGTCAGTCCCGTGATTGTGGGGGTCAACTCTGACCTGTCCCACATACACTATACTCAATGTATTCAAGAGAGTTTCAAGAGAAAACTCACGTCACAAGACTGTCATGGAGCAGTGTAAGGGAGATAACTCTACCCATCTTACAAGCACTGTACATGACTAAAGCTCTCTCTACTGATTGTCTTACATTTAAACACAGCAGTGACCAAATTGTGAAATAATATCTTTTGAAAAAATGTTTAAGATTCCCAATGAGAACACTTTTGCAAATAAGTAGCATTCTAACTTATATATATCCTCACTTGTACTTTAATCCTGAGGCAGATTTAAGAAAATACTCCGTTTAGCAAGCATGGCAGAGACATATACAGACTATGACTTGAACTACTGAACTGAGGCCTGAGTATGGTATTGTCTGTTACCATCCAAAACTGACCTCCACAGGAGGTAGCACTTGGATGAGATCAAGTGACCTCTCCCTGGAAATATTACAACCTATTGCTTCACAGACCACCATGACATCACAGTGACATCATCAGTGTCTCAGCCAATGAAGCGAGTTATCTAGACTGTCTACACATCTACAGGCACCAAGACTGGAACATGTTTGTCCATGTCAATTCATGTGCTGTTTACACAGGCAGCTAGAGCCATTAAGTTAGCTAGAGCCATTAAGTTAGCTAATCTGTTTGTCTACTCTACATTCATATCTACAATGTATCATGCAAGAAAGCCAAGATATTTCACCCAGTTCAACTCTAGTCATGCACTAGACTGTTGCAGATTCTACCTCAAGCTGTTCTATTAAAGGAATTTTGTCAATGGTTTGTCTGTGACGCTCACCTGGAGGAAGGCTCTATAACACCTTCAGGGCTGAAATATCATCATTGGAGTTTTACTGTGCCATAAAGTAGTTCTTCTCTTACATTACTTATAAGCAGGTTGCGACCAGATATCCTGCTTCACGCATATTGCTTTACCTTATGATGACTGTTTCTTGTTTAACGCCAAACTATATTCCAGCTATATGGCGACTGTGTGAATAATCGAGACTGGACCAAACAATCCAGTGATCAACAGCATGTGCATCAATCTATGCAATTGGGAACCGATGACATGTGTCAAGCAGGTTACAACCATAGCAAAACTAGACAGATTGCTATTCGGTGAGCGTCTTCATAAGATAAGTTTAGTGGCCTCTCAGGAAGAGAATAGATTGCTGGAGTCCTATTTAGTGAGCGTCTTCACAAGATAAGTTTAGTGGCCTCTCAGGAAGAGTATAGATTGCTTGAGCCCTATTCAGTGAGCGTCTTCATTAGATATGTTTAGTGGCCTCTCAGGAAGAGAATAGATTGCTGGAGCCCTATTCAGTGAGAGTCTTCATTACATATGTTTAGTGGCCTCTTAGGAAGAGAATAGATTGCTGGAGTCCTATTCAGTGAGAGTCTTCATTAGATATGTTTAGTGGCCTCTTAGGAAGAGAATAGATTGCTGGAGTCCTATTCAGTGAGAGTCTTCATTAGATAAGTTTAGTGGCCTCTCAGGAAGAGTATAGATTGTTTGAGCCCTATTCAGTGAGCGTCTTCATTAGAAATGTTTAGTGGCCTCTCAGGAAGAGAATAGATTGCTGGAGCCCTATTCAGTGAGCGTCTTCATTAGAAATGTTTAGTGGCCTCTCAGGAAGAGTATAGATTGCTGGAGTCCTATTCAGTGAGCGTCGTCATTAGATATGTTTAGTGGCCTCTCAGGAAGAGTATAGATTGCTGGAGTCCTATTCAGTGAGCGTCTTCATTAGATATGTTTAGTGGCCTCTCAGGAAGAGAATAGATTGCTGGAGTCCTATTCAGTGAGCGTCTTCATTAGATATGTTTAGTGGCCTCTCAGGAAGAGAATAGATTGCTGGAGTCCTATTCAGTGAGAGTCTTCATTAGATATGTTTAGTGGCCTCTCAGGAAGAGAATAGATTGCTGGAGTCCTATTCAGTGAGCGTCTTCACAAGATAAGTTTAGTGGCCTCTCAGGAAGAGAATAGATTGCTGGAACCCTATTCAGTGAGCATTAGATATGTTTAGTGGCCTCTCAAGAGAATATTGCTGGAGTATTAGTGAGGCCTCTCAGGAAGAGAATAGATTGCTGGAGCCCTATTCAGTGAGAGTGAGAGTCTTCATTAGATATGTTTAGTGGCCTCTCAGGAAGAGAATAGATTGCTGGAGCCCTATTCAGTGAGAGTCTTCATCAGATAAGTTTAGTGGCCTCTCAGGAAGAGTATAGATTGCTGGAGAGAATAGATTGCTGGAGCCCTATTCAGTGAGCGTCTTCATTAGAAATGTTTAGTGGCCTCTCAGGAAGAGAATAGATTGCTGGAGTCCTATTCAGTGAGAGTCTTCATTAGATATGTTTAGTGGCCTCTCAGGAAGAGTATAGATTGCTGGAGCCCTATTCAGTGAGCGTCTTCATTAGATATGTTTAGTGGCCTCTCAGGAAGAGTATAGATTGCTGGAGCCCTATTCAGTGAGCGTCTTCATTAGATATGTTTAGTGGCCTCTCAGGAAGAGTATAGATTGCTGGAGTCCTATTCAGTGAGTGTCTTCATTAGATATGTTTAGTGGCCTCTTAGGAAGAGTATAGATTGCTGGAGCCCTATTCAGTGAGCGTCTTCATTAGAAATGTTTAGTGGCCTCTTAGGAAGAGAATAGATTGCTGGAGTCCTATTCAGTGAGCGTCTTCATCAGATATGTTTAGTGGCCTCTCAGGAAGAGTATAGATTGCTGGAGCCCTATTCAGTGAGCGTCTTCATTAGATATGTTTAGTGGCCTCTCAGGAAGAGTATAGATTGCTGGAGTCCTATTCAGTGAGAGTCTTCATTACATATGTTTAGTGGCCTCTCAGGAAGAGTATAGATTGCTGGAGCCCTATTCAGTGAGCGTCTTCATTAGAAATGTTTAGTGGCCTCTCAGGAAGAGAATATATTGCTGGAGTCCTATTCAGTGAGCGTCTTCATTAGATATGTTTAGTGGCCTCTCAGGAAGAGTATAGATTGCTGGAGTCCTATTCAGTGAGCGTCTTCATTAGATATGTTTAGTGGCCTCTCAGGAAGAGTATAGATTGCTGGAGCCCTATTCAGTGAGCGTCTTCATTAGAAATGTTTAGTGGCCTCTTAGGAAGAGTATAGATTGCTGGAGTCCTATTCAGTGAGCGTCTTCATTAGAAATGTTTAGTGGCCTCTTAGGAAGAGAATAGATTGCTGGAGTCCTATTCAGTGAGAGTCTTCATCAGATATGTTTAGTGGCCTCTCAGGAAGAGAATAGATTGCTGGAACCCTATTCAGTGAGAGTCTTCATTAGATATGTTTAGTGGCCTCTCAGGAAGAGTATAGATTGCTTGAGCCCTATTCAGTGAGAGTCTTCATTACATATGTTTAGTGGCCTCTTAGGAAGAGAATAGATTGCTGGAGCCCTATTCAGTGACCGACAAGATAAGGGTCACAGGAATTTGTTTTCTTCACTTTGAGAAAGAAGCAAGAATGTTAAAAACAAACAGTATCATTAGTATGAGGGATCTTTCTAAGATTTTAAACTTAATTACCATGGCAACCAAACTGGGAAAGCACATCATTCTTTTCAAAATAGGGATTTCTGTTAAAGTTGGTAGGATTTCAAATTAACTTGAGGGGAAAACTAACCACTATAGCCTTTTCAACTCCTCTACTGGTTCTATTTTCGGCAAAATAAAACACCCCTCTACAATGCCATAACACTGGTAGTCATGTTACTATGACTACATGTCACTTGTAGCGACGTTGGCTGCCGTTTTGGGGCCAAATACAGGAGGGCGGTGTTGCACAAAATGACCTCAGCGCCAAGACTTTCGTAAGTCTATGTTAAGGTCTTGGTGTTACAATCACCTTAATGCTAAGAATATTGCATGTCTATGTTAAGGTATGGGAGTAACAATCACCTTAGTGCTAATATCGCTTAGTACAACCGCACACTGGTCTAGATAAATCCCTGCGAGAGTTGATAAGTTAGCGTTCAGCTAATGGACAGGGCCGGACAGGATACTACGTCAGAATCTGAGGGACTTAGTTGTCACTAGAGGTGACAGTTCTGGAATCTAATTTGTCAACAGAAGCATGCACAACTTACTTTCAAACATCAACTGTCCAATAAATGATTTGAAAACACCTAAATAAAACCATCAAATCATCACAACAGGTTCTGTTTCAAGTGATCTTAAAGCTACTGTTACCAGTATGTCATAAATGTATATCTCTGGAATATAGTTAGAGGTTAACCTGTTATGGTTTCAGTCATCGTGTCCTCACGTTCGGGGGCATACAGATATAAGGAGTCGAATGATTGGACAGCTGGAATCGGTAAAAGATTGTCTCAATATCAGAAACAAATTACAAAACAAACCCTAAAACACAATCACACATTCATACAAATAGCAAACACAATAAACAAATAAGAATGAGCATCAGACACTAATAATTAACTATGACAAAAGGACCACAAGTACCATCACTGTATATGTCCTACTGATGTACACTATGTCTCACACAGATCAGTGGTTCTCTGACTGAGCTGATACAGGAACATCGGAACATCAAACCTACCCTTCTTGGTGCCGCCTTTGTCATCTTTTTCTTTCCTTGTCCCTCCCTTCTTGTCCTCCTCTTTCGCTTTGGGGTCCTACAGACATGGGAACGAAGTGTTATAATACTGGTAGTATCTCTAACATGGCAAGTGTTATAATACTGGTAGTATCTCTAACATAGCAAGTGTTATAATACTGGTAGTATCTCTAACATGGCAAGTGTTGTAATACTGGTAGTATCTCTAACATGGCAAGTGTTGTAATACTGGTACTCTTATCTCTAACATGGCAAGTGTTATAATACTGGTACTCTTATCTCTAACATGGCAAGTGTTTTAACACTGGTACTCTTATCTCTAACATGGCAAGTGTTATAATACTGGTACTCTTATCTCTAACATGGCCAGTGTTGTAATACCGGTACTCTTATCTCTAACATGGCAAGTGTTATAATACTGGTACTCTTATCTCTAACATTGCAAGTGTTATAATACTGGAACTCTTATCACTAACATGGCAAGTGATGTAGTACTGGTACTCTTATCTCTAACATGGCAAGTGTTATAATACTGGTACTCTTATCTCTAACATGGCAAGTGTTATAATACTGGTAGTATCTCTAACATGGCAAGTGTTATAATACTGGTACTCTTATCTCTAACATGGAAAGTGTTATAATATTGGTACTCTTATCTCTAACATGGAAAGTGTTATAATACTGGAACTCTTATCACTAACATGGCAAGTGTTGTAGTACTGGTACTCTTATCTCTAACATGGCAAGTGTTATAGTACTGGTACTCTTATATCTAACATGGCAAGTGTTATAATACTGGTATTCTTATCTCTAACATGGCAAGTGTTATAATACTGGTACTCTTATCTCTAACATGGCAAGTGTTATAACACTGGTACTCTTATCTCTAACATGGCAAGTGTTATAATACTGGTACTCTTATCTCTAACATGGCCAGTGTTGTAATACCGGTACTCTTATCTCTAACATGGCAAGTGTTATAATACTGGTACTCTTATCTCTAACATTGCAAGTGTTATAATACTGGAACTCTTATCACTAACATGGCAAGTGATGTAGTACTGGTACTCTTATCTCTAACATGGCAAGTGTTATAATACTGGTACTCTTATCTCTAACATGGCAAGTGTTATAATACTGGTAGTATCTCTAACATGGCAAGTGTTATCATACTGGTACTCTTATCTCTAACATGGCAAGTGTTATAATACTGGTACTCTTATCTCTAACATGGCAAGTGTTATAATACTGGAACTCTTATCTCTAACATGGCAAGTGTTATAATACTGGAACTCTTATCTCTAACATGGCAAGTGTTGTAATACTGGTACTCTTATCTCTAACATGGCAAGTGTTATAATACTGGAACTCTTATCTCTAACATGGCAAGTGTTGTAATACTGGTACTCTTATCTCTAACATGGCAAGTGTTATAATACTGGTAGTATCTCTAACATGGAAAGTGTTATAATACTGGTACTCTTATCTCTAACATGGAAAGTGTTATAATATTGGTACTCTTATCTCTAACATGGAAAGTGTTATAATACTGGAACTCTTATCACTAACATGGCAAGTGTTATAATACTGGTACTCTTATCTCTAACATGGAAAGTGTTATAATACTGGTACTCTTATCTCTAACATGGAAAGTGTTATAATACTGGTACTCTTATCTCTAACATGGCAAGTGTTATAATACTGGTACTCTTATCTCTAACATGGAAAGTGTTATAATACTGGTACTCTTATCTCTAACATGGAAAGTGTTATAATATTGGTACTCTTATCTCTAACATGGAAAGTGTTATAATACTGGAACTCTTATCACTAACATGGCAAGTGTTATAATACTGGTTATATACTGGTCTTATCTCTAACATGGCAAGTGTTATAATACTGGTACTCTTATCTCTAACATGGCAAGTGTTATAATACTGGTACTCTTATCTCTAACATGGCAAGTGTTATAATACTGGTACTCTTATCTCTAACATGGCAAGTGTTATAATACTGGTACTCTTATCTCTAACATGGCAAGTGTTATAATACTGGTACTCTTATCTCTAACATGGCAAGTGTTATAATACTGGTACTCTTATCTCTAACATGGCAAGTGTTATAATACTGGAACTCTTATCTCTAACATGGCAAGTGTTATAATACTGGTACTCTTATCTCTAACATGGCAAGTGTTGTAATACTGGTACTCTTATCTCTAACATGGCAAGTGTTATAATACTGGTACTCTTATCTCTAACATGGCAAGTGTTATAATACTGGTACTCTTATCTCTAACATGGCAAGTGTTATAATACTGGTACTCTTATCTCTAACATGGCAAGTGTTATAATACTGGTACTCTTATCTCTAACATGGTACTCTTTATCTCTAACATGGAAAGTGTTATAATAGTGGTACTCTTATCTCTAACATGGAAAGTGTTATAATACTGGAACTCTTATCACTAACATGGCAAGTGTTGTAGTACTGGTACTCTTATCTCTAACATGGCAAGTGTTATAGTACTGGTACTCTTATATCTAACATGGCAAGTGTTATAATACTGGTATTCTTATCTCTAACATGGCAAGTGTTATAATACTGGTACTCTTATCTCTAACATGGCAAATGTTATAATACTGGTACTCTTATCTCTAACATGGCAAGTGTTATAATACTGGTAGTATCTCTAACATGGCAAGTGTTGTAATACTGGTAGTATCTCTAACATGGCAAGTGTTATAATACTGGTAGTATCTCTAACATGGCAAGTGTTGTAATACTGGTAGTATCTCTAACATGGCAAGTGTTATAATACTGGTAGTATCTCTAACATGGCAAGTGTTATAATACTGGTAGTATCTCTAACATGGCAAGTGTTGTAATACTGGTAGTATCTCTAACATGGCAAGTGTTGTAATACTGGTAGTATCTCTAACATGGCAAGTGTTATAATACTGGTAGTATCTCTAACATGGCAAGTGTTATAATACTGGTAGTATCTCTAACATGGCAAGTGTTATAATACTGGTAGTATCTCTAACATGGCAAGTGTTATAATACTGGAACTCTTATCTCTTATCTCGGTTGTATTACCAATATTGTATCACCAGTATTGTATTACCAATATAGTATCACCAGTACTTGTTTACCAATATTCTATCACCCGTACTATATTACCAATATTGTATCACCAGTATTGTATTACCAATATTGTATCACCAGTACTGTATTACCATCACCAGTACTGTATTACCAATATTGTATCACCAGTACTGTATTGCCAATACTATATTACCATTATTGTATTACCAATATTGTATCACCAGTATTGTATTACCAATATTGTATCACGAGTACTGTGTTACCAATATTGTATCACCAGTATTGTATTACCAATATTGTATCACGAGTACTGTATTACCAATATTGTATCACCAGTACTTGTTTACCAATATTCTATCACCCGTACTATATTACCAATGTTGTATCACCAGTTTTGTATTACCAATATTGTATCACCAGTATTGTATTACCAATATTGTATCACCAGTGCTGTATTACCAATATTGTATCACTGGTACTTTATTACCAATATAATATCACCAGTACTGTATTACCAATATTGTATCACCAGTACTGTATTACCAATATAATATCACCAGTACTGTATTACCAATATTGTATCACCAGTACTGTATTACCAATATTGTATCACCGGTGCTTTATTATCAATATTGTATCACCAGTGCTGTGTTACCAATATTGTATCACCAGTATTGTATTACCAATATTGTATCACCAGTACTGTATTGCCATCACCAGTACTGTATTACCAATATTGTATCACCAGTACTATTGCCAATACTATATTACCATTATTGTATTACCAATATTGTATCACCAGTATTGTATTACCAATGTTGTATCACCAGTTTTGTATTACCAATGTTGTATCAACCAGTGTTTGTATTACCAATATTGTACCAGTACTGTATTACCAATGTTGTATCACCAGTACTGTATTACCAATATTGTATCACCAGTACTGTATTACCAATATTGTATCACCAGTACTGTATTACCAATATTGTATCACCGGTACTGTATTGCCAATATTATATTACCAGTATTGTATTACCAATATTGTATCACCAGTACTGTATTGCCAATACTATATTACCATTATTGTATTACCAATATTGTATCACCAGTATTGTATTACCAATATTGTATCACGAGTACTGTATTACCAATATTGTATCACCAGTATTGTATTACCAATATTGTATCACGAGTACTGTATTACCAATATTGTATCACCAGTACTTGTTTACCAATATTCTATCACCCGTACTATATTACCAATGTTGTATCACCAGTTTTGTATTACCAATATTGTATCACCAGTATTGTATTACCAATATTGTATCACCAGTGCTGTATTACCAATATTGTATCACTGGTACTTTATTACCAATATAATATCACCAGTACTGTATTACCAATATTGTATCACCAGTACTGTATTACCAATATAATATCACCAGTACTGTATTACCAATATTGTATCACCAGTACTGTATTACCAATATTGTATCACCGGTACTTTATTATCAATATTGTATCACCAGTACTGTGTTACCAATATTGTATCACCAGTATTGTATTACCAATATTGTATCACCAGTACTGTATTACCATCACCAGTACTGTATTACCAATATTGTATCACCAGTACTGTATTGCCAATACTATATTACCATTATTGTATTACCAATATTGTATCACCAGTATTGTATTACCAATATTGTATCACCAGTACTGTATTACCAATGTTGTATCACCAGTTTTGTATTACCAATATTGTATCACCAGTACTGTATTACCAATGTTGTATCACCAGTACTGTATTACCAATATTGTATCACCAGTACTGTATTACCAATATTGTATCACCGGTACTGTATTGCCAATATTATATTACCAGTATTGTATTACCAATATTGTATCACCAGTACTGTATTGCCAATACTATATTACCATTATTGTATTACCAATATTGTATTACCAATATTGTATCACCAGTATTGTATTACCAATATTGTATTACCAGCTTGTACACCAGTACTGCTTGTATACCGTTGTCAGTACTAACGCAATACTGGAACAATACATTTGACATGTATCAGTTGCCTGCAACAGTATAAAGCCACAGAGAGTACCTTATTCTTTTTGGCAGATGGCTTGTCTCGCTTAGACTTGTCCCTGTCCGTGTGAGAGCTGCTACGTACACTGCCAGGACGGTCCTTAGAATCCGCTCTGCGACTCGGTGGTGGCTAGGGGTGAACAGTGCAAAGTGAACAGTGAACAAAGACATGCAGATATACCATCATATATCACCTACAAGGTCTAAAAGGTTCAACAGGTCATGAAGGCCTTTTGGCGACCCATACTCAAAGGAAAGGTTCATGAAGCAGAAATATTTCCTGCTCACGAAGGTAGCCTGTGCAAGTACAATGGCGTCGTTATCAGGCAGGAATGTAGAGACAGTCTTACCAGTCTTAATTTTCATGGGTTGGGTAGCCTAGTGGTTGAAGCGTTAACTCTTCGCGCCAAAGACTTGGGTTCGATTTCCCAAATGGGTACAATTCGTGAAGGTCATTTCTGGTGTCCCCCACCGTGATGTTGCTGGATTATTGCTAAAAGCGGCATAAAACTAAACTCACTCACTCACTCTAATTTTCAAAATGTACCAGTGAAATTCCATCATCTATGCACCCAACAGCCTGGTCGTACGGTCTTACAGACGGATCTAAAAACTATGGCAGATCCAATTCCATCATCTGTGCACCCAACAGCCTGGTCTTACAGACGGATCTAAAGACTACGACAGATCAAAGGGAGGTAATTTATCTTACAAACAGTAGTTTCCCCATTTTGATTTCACAAATTTGGTAAAGGTAGGACGTGTAAAGGAGAGTTGGAGGATGGGTTATCATGTAGTTCTGAGAGTTTCTTGTGCTTTAATCCTGACCAAACTGAAACACTAGTATCTCCTGAGTGACTTTCCTGAGTGAAACATGTCTCTGTTCTCCCTGCAGTGAACGGGTAACTAGTGGCAGTGATTGTAAGGCGCCTTACTCTCTATAAGGTTGGTATTTGCATACTCCCCAGGGTGTTGAGAATGGGAATTTAGTGCACACTGATCCACTAGGCAAGGTACCCAATGGAGTGCTGTGACCATGCATCAGTGGGTGTTTTTTGTGCATCACAAATAAGTATTAATTATTAATAGTACTTACAGATTTATTTCTCTCTGGAGAACCTTTCTCTGAGATGAGACGACGACGTGCCACCACCTCTTCGTGTGTCAGGGGAAACCGAGACAGTGCCTACAGACGAGATATAGGCTATACATGTAATCTCACTCATAAGGTGACCCCTTGTAAAATCAATGAACTCAATGCTAATCTCTGTACCCTGCTTGCAAACTAATTAGAAGATAATGCTACTCTGTTTTCAATGTGGCAGTCCTTTATCGTTGATTTAAGATGGCTAAATGTAACTTAAAAACTGAACGTGCTTTTTCCTGCTTGGAAGTTTCTTCAATGGGATTAAGCTAAAAAAATTCTTCTTCAAACCATTTGCTTTTTAGGGACCGTTCATAATTTATGGTTGGGGGGGATGATGATGACATTTATGGAGGAGCATGTCCATTGTGAATTACCCCTCCTATAATATATGTACAAAATAAGTGACATCCCCCCTGCATGTCATGTACAAAATTGCTGACCCCCTAGTACATGTGTGCAAAATTGATGACACCCACCTTGCTCCCCTGAACAGAATGGGTGATCCCCCTTAAAATCATCATCACACCCCCCTAGCCATAAATTATGAACAGTCCCTTACTTCAAAAACATCTGAGATGTTGTTGAGGTAGAAATCACCAATGTCCGATGTGTTTGTTTACAACAGGTTCACTTTATTAATATGCGGTGAATCGGTCACTTTAATTAGCAGTCCTTTAACTGCCATTTACATACGGTTTTGATGAGCTCTCAGCCAATCAGAATCAAGTATCACACAACGTCGTGCTAGAAGTCGGAATGAAGTACATCACATGCACAACCCCGATATTCCACATGCAACCACATGTTTTAAGTGACCCCATAATTTCATCAAAACACATCAGTGACAATCGGATGCTGGTTGACATCACCATTAGAATCAGAAAGTTATACAGATAAAACAATACTCAGACATCTTTAACCCCGTGCATAAAGCAGCTCCCTTTCCAGTGTGCAAAATAGTTTCCAAATTTTGCTAGCCATTCAGTTACTAGCCCACAAAATAATTTACTAGTCCGAAATTTGAATGTAGACATGGGTTTTATCATTAAGATGCTGATATGTTGGAGAGAGTGATATATTTACAAAATGACCCAATGAAAATTCACTAGCCAGTCAGGCCAGAGACTGTGGACATTTACTGGCCTAACTTGATTTTACTAGCCATTAGGCTAGCGGGCCAGTGGCTATTTTGCACACTGCCCTTTCAAACCCTCAAAACAGGGTAACTGTACCCATATATCCAATATGTACATTTTCAGTATTATAATCATAACAAAAGAATGTGTCTTGCATTATGTGCCCCATGAATTAAATGAAGCAATGCTCACTGACCTCTGCTATTTTCTTCACCCCCTTATCTCCGATCTGGTTGTTGGCCAGGGAGAGAGACAGCAGTGTTCTGTTCATCCTAAGTCCCTGGAACACAGAACACAAAACACTATAATCATCATAATACCAGGTTTGTTGTTTGTTATGTTTGTTATTTGTTGTCTGATGGCTGTTTGTAAATAATCAAGTTAAGACCAGACAATCCAGTGATTAACATCATGACCATTTATTTATGCAATTAAGAAATGATAATGTTTCAACCAGGAATGACTGTCCAATCCTGTTAGCCGCCTCTTAAAACAAAAATGGGTTGCTGCACATCCATTATGTAAAAATCCATTAATATAACCAGCTAGTTTTGTTACCTTCACTTGTTCAACATGTAGTACATGATGTGTGTTATCTCCCTTTAATCATTGAAGATTCTCACAGACACGCACGTAAGAAACATCACCCATCCCCAGCAATCAACACTGTTTACCAGCCTGATTGTGCCCATTCTCCTACCCGGAGTTCCATGTGGCCAGCACAGTACCTCTGCCACAGGCCAGAAAGATGTGACGATTCGTCACATCTTGCACCGACCATTCAATATAATGTACATTTTTCTTAACTCTTCTATTTTTGACGAGTCTACATATCTAACAAATCATCCTTGATAGAATCGTTTAGTTTCACTGACAAAATATCCTAAAACGTCAGAGGTACAGATAAGCTGCGTATCTGCGTAAATTACGCAAATATTTATGTGAAAACTCAATTCTTATTACATCTGTTGCGTACAAGTACGCTTCAGTTTTTGTAAATACATGCTTACAAACAAAAATAGATAAATAACTGAGGTGTATTGAGTGTTTTTATTTCAGCTCCTGGACTTGGCAACTTGTGGTCTTTCTTATCGGTCACTTATATGGCTGAAATATTGCCGATGTGACATTACACAAAAACTCACTCACTCACTCTTTCTTATCGTTTCACAAGCTTAAGCGAAGTACATAACTCATTGACCCAAAAGTTATCTGTAGCTCTGAAACCTGTAACAATATTTCGATTTTATGTAGCGATCCTTTTGTTTACATGCGTTGTAATGGCTCCACATGCTATCGCCAAAGCCATTACAGACAGCAAACGATGCAGCCAGTTGATATATTAATATGTAATTTTTAAAAGTAAAATTGATATTTTATTCTTATCCTGACTCATGATCTTTGCTTATCTCCTTTTCCTTGCTTAATGGTAGTGGAACACTTGAATCCTTTGTAGTTCCCTGAAGCGGCGTAAAAATACACTCATCCACAGGAGTTACCTCCCTTTCCCCAAGAAACAGTCATGTGACCAGCCAGTCTTCGGTGGCTATGTCTCGAGGTAGTGGTTGCCAAACACCGTGATCTGACTTCCAGAAGCAGCCCTCCATAATTGATGATATAGAGCAATTTCCATGTACAGCGAAAGTGTTGATGACAGTGCTCTGACTTCGCGGTGGGTTGGAAGCTCTTGGAGGTTCTAATCATGCTGCTTTGTAGGCTCTTAGTATAACGGCTCTCAAGGATAGGTCCAGGGTGTCCTCTGGTCCGAGGATCCTAGATAGCGCTGGCACATGGAACTGTTTATCTGGTTGACCAGGTAGTTGATTCTTTGCAATAAAGTCCCATCTTAGTCCTAGATGTACTGCAGCACGGTGCCCCGTGTTGAATCTAATTCGTACAGCCCATGTATCTCAGACATACGAGCTGCCGTGGCTAGGGCAAGTAGGAACAGAGTTTTCTGTGTGAGTAGCTCGAAGTTAGTCTGTTCTAGAGGCTCATAGGCAACGCTCATGAGATGACGTAGAATTACATTCAGATCCCAGGCTGGTGCTCTGAATTTCTTTTGTTGGTCCTCCGGTTTAAAAGATCGCAGCAGATCCAGTAATTCTGGTACTTTCGTCAATTTGATGCCTGACTTCTTAGTGACGACTGTGCTGATGGCTGATGCTGATGTGGATAATGTCGAACCTTTCAGATGTCTTGTATATCTAACGTGACATAGATATTCGGCCACTTGAGAATGAGCAGCTTTCATAGCTGTGAAGCCCTTCCTCGCCTTGCATATTTTCAAATTTCTGCCATTTGTCATCCTTACAAATTGCGAGTACATCTGCGTAACGCCAAGGTTACTGCTTTCGCTGCTCTGGCGGAGCATCCTCTTTCTTCAGACAGGTTTTGATATGGTCCACACGCAGTAGCTGGAACATGGGGATGTGTAGATATGCATCCTGGAGGTCTATGCTGGCCATATAATCTGCTGGACGAATTAGTAGTCTGAGTTGAGGTAGGTGGATCATTCTGAACCTTTCTGGTTGAGTAGATAGTCTTGGTTGAATTTCCAAGATGTTGTAAATCAACCTGAATTTTCTCTTTGGAATTCTTCTGGTTGCTAGGGAAAATTGGGGTGTAGAAGCCTGGCGTGAGATGATGTTGATCTATTCTCTCTACCACATTCTTGGTTAGAAAAGTGAGTTGAGTCTTGTAGCTTGTCTGCTTGCTCATCTGCATAGTTGAAGACCATCCATCTGAGGGTTAACGGTGGTGTGGCCTTGAGCTGCACTCTGTATCCTTCTCGCAGTACTTGTGAGACATAGTCGTCCTCCAGTATTCCCCAATGTTCCCAGTACCTTTGTAGACAAGCACCCACTGTCGATGGTTGTACAGGAACGGCTGGGGGTGGAAGTATCCAGTCGCTCAGAGCCCCAATTTCAACGCCTAGCTCCTCTGAAACCTCTGGGAGTACGTCCTTCCCTGAGTTTCCTCTCTAGTTTCGGATGGGCAACAAAAAGAGCCTTTCCCGCCTCTGAAACTGGAGTATTTCTTCTCCTTAGCCTTCTGGATACCTGAATATTTTGACTTGCTGTTGTACTTCTGTGAAGTATGACTTAATGACGCTTGGTTAGAGTATCTATAGACTTGATCATCATGGATTCCCCTCCCTTCCTTAGCTGCTTCATCTATCTCACCTCCAAGATGGTAGGCACCGCCAAGGAGCTCTAAGTAGGGGTTGGGTAAATTTGTCACTCCAGGAACAAGGTGAGACCCTGCCGACGCTGAGGCCAAATGATCCGATATGGATATTGGTCCTTCTTCTGAGTGAGCAGAGCAGATAATATCATCCTATCTTCTTTCGAACTGGGGTTCTGGAACTTGTTAATTAATGCCTCATTGATTGCTCTGGATCTCGCTAATCCGAAGAAGGATCTCCTCGTCGCAGTATCAAATTGGGCCAACTTTTTATCCTCCACCTTGTAAAACTTGTTCCGAAATTTGTTGACCAGTTTTATGTTCTCATCTAAGTCCAGCGCTCTCATAAAGGGGTGGCAGATATTGATTCTGGAATCTAGTAGCTTTGTCAAAGATATGCGAGGGTTTGAAGGCACCTTGGATATTGGCTCAAAAGGAGGAATAGTCACCGAGTCGAAGTCATCCTTGCACATCTTGTATGTGTAAGCTTCATCCAATTCCTTGGAGGGAGACTCTAAGTTCAATCAATTAGCTATCCAAGCTGTAACTTCCGTATCTGAGAAGACGTAGTTGGTATGTTCATCAGATAGTTCTCGTTCTATAGACCTATGCCTTCGCAAATCCTCCTTCTGCGAACCTTCCTTTTGCGAATCTAGCTTCCGCGAACCTCTATCTCGTGATCCATCCTTTCACGAACGTCTGTCTCGCGGATCCACCCCTTCGCTAACCTTGTCTCGCGGATCCATCCCTTCGCAAACTTGTCTCTCGCAGAAAACCTAGCCTTAGCGAACTCCGGTGCTATCGCAAACCTTACCTTCGCGAAACCTTCTGTTCGTGTGTGAGAGCGGGACGTAGATCTGGAACAGCTGGCTCTTGGAGATGGATTCCTAGGCGTTCTCAAATCTTGAGGGTTTGCAGACGAAGTTCTCGTAGAGTTAGTAGCCTTCACAAACCTTCCATCCTGTTCCATGATGACAAAGTTGTCCGATTGTGATGAACGTACACGTTCACCAACGGCGTATCAGGTTCGCGCAGGTCTGAGGGTTTGCGAATGTTGTCGGTTGATGTAAGATTCTGTCGTGCCTTCACTTCCTCATCAAACCGTCGTTCCATCATGGCCATCATTTGGGTAGTAAATTGCCTCATAAAGTCGCCTGGATCGAAGTTCTGCGTTGACTGGAACTGATTCTGCATTGATGTGTTGTGTGCTTCAACTTCACTGCATTGAGAAGTTGGTGGTTGGTCGTCAAACAGCTCGCCCGCTGTTGTAGTTGCAGGAGACGATCTAGTAGTCGTGGAGGTCGTCTGCATCGCCGATCTAGTAGGTACTTCAGGCAGAAGTAACGGTGGTTCATCAAACACGTCTGCCTCGTGCGGTAGAAAGATCTCCTCATTAAACGACCTCTGATGAGTTGACTTGCTAGGTTGTGTTGATTTTGACGCTAACCTAGTTATAGATGCCCATTTCTGCGTTGTGGATAAAGCAGTAGTCTTTTTCTCACTCTGAGAGGGCATCAACTCCGTCGTAGCAGACCTCTGTTTCGACCCCGTACCAGACGACGACCCCTGCAACGTACTCAACATAGCACCAAAATTATTTATTTCTGCAGTAGCAAACAACGTTACGGTTACCGGCTTGAACTCCAGGTTTATCAACCATGACTTGTGATGACTTCCTCACCCTATCCATGGCACGTCTATAGATATAAGACAAATATTGATTAAATTGCAAATTTGATAAATCACTGCAATATGTACAGCGTGAGCTGGAAGAACATGGTTTAATGCACGATGGGCATTGGGGGTGAGGATCAGCCACAGATAGCCGGTGCCTGCAAACAATGCAAGATTTCATGAAATGTAGACACGTTACATTATGATGAAAAAGTGTAACAAATTACGAAAATTTCTTCAAATTTTATACAACTAATGCATTATAGTTATAGTCAAATACCATACACAGCGTAATTTTGATAAATAGGATCTAATTACAAAGGATATCTGCCGTATATGGGACTCCAGTGCTCACCCAACCATCCGCTTGGGCGAAAAGGGAGAGAGTGACAGCAAGGCTGGTCACATGACTGTTTGCGTGGGAAAGAAGGGAGGCAACTCGTGGGTGAGTGTATTTTTACATCCGCTTCGGGAACTACAAGGGATTCAAGTGTTCCACTACCATTCGCAAGGGAAAGGGAGCTAAGGAAAACATCATGAGTCAGGATAAGGAAAAATAATGTATTTCATAAACCTTAATGTCGCCGGTGTGGAAGAATATACAGTACAACAAGAAATTATTGAAAATTTAAAGATCATAAAAAAATTTTTTTTAACTCATTACTAACGTATTAAATGTGAATATTAGCTGAACATAACTCCAGATTCAAAGACAAGTGAACAGTTAGTATTTTGTCAAGTCACCATGGGCAGCAATGCAGGCTTCAATGCGGCGGGGCATACTACTGATCAAAGAAGTTAGAAAGTCGTGGTCCATGCTGTCCCAATATCGGACCACCTCTTTTTTCATTTCAGCAATATTTGTCAGATGTTTCTTATTGACACTTTCCTTCATAAGTCCCAAAACATTTTCTATTGGGTTTACGTCAGGGCTATAGCTTGGCCAATCTAATAATGTAATATTTTGGGTCCGAAACCAGGCCTGTGAATGATTTGAACGATGTTTTGGTCGTTGTCCTGCTGGAAAATCCAACAATTTCCATAGAACACATGAGCAGATGGAAGTATATGTCCCTCGAGAATATCTGTGTACCGCCACTTTTCATATTCCCTTCAAATATACAGAGTGGTGTTGCCCCTAACACAGATATGCCCCCACACGCTAAATTTCGACTGTACTTTGGGCTGATACAAAGGTTTTTCAGTTTGTTGGGTCCAGAATTTCAGTGTATTAGGAAACAGCCACACAGAACTTTCATCTGAGAAAATCACATTGTCCAGTTAAAAGTTAAACCTTCGGCCCTTTTTTTTATGGTGATGGAAACACAACTCTGGCATCATTCCTTACAGACAGCCACAGTTCCTCTCAATCATTCCAGCCTTAAGTTTTCTGCATGGATTATCATGCATATGGACCTACATTATCATGACATACACATGCAAAGCCAGGTTTTGGACGCGATAAAAGGCATTATGGTTCAACCGTTTCACTAGCAGTCACAAAATGCCACGGCTCAGTGAACAGCAGAGGGAACAAGCTATCGGGATGCTGTCGGTGGGAACATCACAAATCCACCATCAACAGACTCCAAAATCGTCATCAGCAAACTGGAAGCATCCATGACTGTCCCTTACCAGGACAAACTCCGGTCATGACGCACTTCCAGGCCGGCACATCCGACGAGTTCACCAAAGAAGCCGCTTTCAGACAGCAGCAAACTCACCTCGAAACACCGTAGGACGTAAAGTACGCCACATCAGCGCCATGACAGTCATTTGACGTCTGCAGGCTGTGGCACTAAGGGGCCATATCGGGAAACATCATTACGCAACGTCATCGAGTCAACAGACTCCTTTTTGCACAGCAACATAGCCTCCAACCACCATGAATCTCCAACCAGTGGGTGTTTTTCAATGGGTCCAGGTTCTGTGTGTCATTTGCAGATGGCAGACAACGCGTCCACAGGCAGCAACATGAACATGAGCTTGGTCGCTGGATTCATCAATGGCAACGTCAACGTCAGCCAAACAACGTCGCTGAGTTGACAGGAGTGGCAGAACATCCCCCAAGCACCTGTTCGACATTTGTGCGAATCCATGCCATGTCGACTCCATGCATGTGTACAGGCTCAGGGAGGTCACACTCGCTACTGACGGACGTAAGGAGGGTCTGTGTGTGACGCTTGACGTGTCAGTCATATTGGCGGAACTCTTGCAATCATTTTTTATGAAAATGAAGCACAATGAAATTCTCAACATAACTGTAGAACAATTTTCATCCAAGTATTGTTGTTTGTTAAGTTTTCCTCATTTGAATTTGGTTTTGTGTTTTCAATGTGTGTCAGTATATATATGCAACAATGTAAAACATTGTGAAGAGCCCACCGAAAAGCTTGCGTAAGACCAGAGACCATATTATATGATCTCTGGTAAGACTAGTCTCTTCTTATTATGAATATGCGCGTTTGTTTACAAACAAGAAAATAGTCTGGTCACGTGATATGCAAATTAGCCTGTGGCAGTGATGTAATGCTAAGTCATCACAGCACCAGAGTGTGGATTGTGCCCTGTATGTACAAGTCCTGGCACAACGTTGCAGGTCACATATACAACTGAGCTAGACAAGCAACTACCAGTAATACTGACCGACACGAATACATCCAATATAACCCAAATATGACTGTATTAGTACAACAGTCTTCATTACTACAACTTCTGAAAAAAGAGTAACTGGGCTCCTTTATAATATATTTATCAGAACAATTTTTTCTGTGAAATTTTTCAATTTCTGAAACTAGATGTTAGTCTAACCAGCGAATCTTCATGTGAAACCTAGTTAATCTGGAGTATCTGAGCAATTCTCATAAAAAAATTGTACATATTTGTGTTGGTTTATCGAGACACTATCAAAAGAGCCAGCTTAATGACATGAAACAGGCCATGCAGTCTTAGCAAGCTATGTAAATCAGACACACAGTCACTTCCCCGAATCTGTTACTTGAGAGATTTTTCCAGAAATTACCCCTGCTAAATGCTCCGCGCCAACATCTGTGATTCTGTTGCCAGCCAGGTTGAGAGACAAGAGCTTTGTGTTGAAGCGTTTGGCAGTACCCAGAGCCTTGCCAATGCCCTCGGCAGCTTCATCAGAGACGGCGCAATGTTGGAGTGAGAGAAGCTGAACACTGAAAGGAGTGAGTCAGTGGGTGAGTTTGGCTGAATGATTGAGAAACTAAATTCAGAAATATAACAGTTTATCTAATTATGTGAGAGACCTCTTACAAGTTTCAATACCAAAAGGTAATCAAGGCACAGTGATGATGAAGAGGAAGAAGAGGAGATGGAGGAAGATGAGGGAGGAAGAGAAGAAGGAAAGGAGGAAGAGAAGGAGAGGAGGAAGAGAAGGAAAGGAGAAAGGAAGATGGAGGAAGAAGAGGGAAGCAGTGGAGGGGAGGCAGAAAGGGGAGGAGGGAAGAGGAAGCAGTGGAGGAGGCAGAAGAGGGAAGGAGGAACAAGAGGAGGGGAGGCAGGAAGAGGGGAAAGGAGAAGAGGAAGCAGTGGAGGGGGAGGCAGAAGAGGGGAAGGAGGAACAAGAGAAGAGGAAGGCAGGAAGAGGGAAGGAAGCAGGGGAGAAAGGAGGAGGGAGGCAGAAAAGATGAAGAAAGAGAAGGGAAGGAGGAACATGGTTTCGCCGCCAGCAATATTCCAGCAATATCATGGCAGGAGGGGAGGCAGAAGAGGAGTTGAACCCTGGTCTTCGAGCGAGTGCGAACGCTTTTAACCACTAGGCAAACCGCCACTTGCCCAGAATAAGAAAGAAGAAGAGGAAGCAGAAAGAGGAGGGGATGAAAATGGAAGGGGAAAGGGAAAAGGAAGATGTGGAAGCAGGAGGAGGTCGGGAAGAAGAAGAAAATCGAAAAAGGTAGAAGGAGGAAGCGGTGGAGGAGTGGAGGCAGAAGAGGACAATGGGCAAGGAAGAAAGAGAGGCAGTGGAGGAGGAGAGGAGGCAGAGGGAGGAAATGGAAAGAGAAGAGGAAGCAGACAGCAGGAGGAGGGGAAGAAGAAGAGGGAAAATGGAAGAGGATGGAGTGGAGGAGGGAAGGCAGAAGAGGGAAATGAAAAAGAGATGATGGAAGCAGTGGAAGAGGGGAGAAAGAAGAGGGAAATGGAAGAGGATGGAGTGGAGGAGGGAAGGCAGAAGAGGGAAATGGAAAAAGGAAGAAGAAGCAGTAGAGGGAGGGGAGGAAGAAGAGGGAAAATGAAAAGAGATGAGGAAGCAGTGGAGGAGGGAGAAAGAAGAGGGAAAAATGGAAAAGGATGAAGAGGAGGAGAGGAAGGAAGAAGAGGAAAAAATGAAAAGAGGAAAGCAGTGGAGGTGGGGAAGAAGAAGAGAAAATGGAAGAGGAAGAGGAGGAGGGAAGGCAGAAGAGGGAAAAAGGAAAAGGAAGAAGAGCAAGCAGTGGAGGGGAGAGGGAAAGGGAAAATTAAAAAAGGAAGATGGGGGAAGCAGTGGAAGAGGGGAGGAAGAAGAGGGAAATGAAAAGAGGAAAGCAGTGGGAAGAGGGGAGAAAGAAGAGGGAAAATGGAAAAGGAAGAAGAGGAATCAGTTGAGGAGGGGAAGAAGAGGGGAAACGGAAAAGGAAGAAGAGGAGGAGGGAAGGCAGAAGAGGGGAAAATAAAGGAAGAAGAGGAATCAGTTGAGGAGGGGAAGAAGAGGGGAAACGGAAAAGGAAGAAGAGGTGGAGGAGGAAGAGAAAAGGGGAAAGAGAGAAGAGAAGGAGGAAGAGAGAGGAGGACAAGGAAAGTTCCTCTACAGGTGCTATGTCTCCTCTGCACCTCACCCTAATGCACACACCCTCACCTGCTGTCATCATCCACCAACAGATGCCAGTTCTCTCTTCACCTTCCTGTATACAGTTGCCATCCAGGACCAGGTTCCTGTAACAGACAATTTCATCTACAGTCCCACATCCATCATATCCAGCACTGACAGGATCATTATCACATGTAGGTCTTGCATTGTCTGTGGTTGTTTCACGTCAAAGTAAGCAGTATTCTGTATGTAGCTGTGTGTAGCACTGGGCATGTAAATATCCAGGACAGACAAACCAGCAGTGGACATAATTAGCAGGATCCCATCTAGGTACGACTGCACCGAGTCCACCTTGCTGCTTATCACAGTCAGGCCGCGATAATTAGAACAGTGCCATAAAAAATGTTTTGGATGATGAAACTGCAGTAGCGTTACTTCCCTTTCACTTGTCTGAGAGAGACAAAAGAACATTGATGTCAAGCTATGACGTGATTCTATTGTTTACATGTCACAGTATTGTTGACATAATGTTATTGGTTTGTACCGAAAATAAAATTACTTTTATTGACTAAACCGACATGGTTTGGCTTTTAGAAGCTTCTTTCTTTTGGTAATTACATAATAAAACAATATGGACTGGTGAATTCAGTCAGTACCTGTGTTGACTTCATCACCAGTCTATAATTGTACAATATGGCCGCTGTATTTACAGACGGATTAATAAAAGAAAATCAAGAACAATTAACTAATCCATTACCAATAATTGATGTTCGGGTCAGAGACATCCTCGATAATCTCCAGGGTATACGCTTCGATAAATCTCCACTATACCCTGATGCGCCTCAATGATTTTATTACCTCCCTTGGTTGGCTTTTCATCCAATCAGGTGTCAAGCTGAGCATTATTCAATCACAACTCACTGTCGCTTTTAAATTATCTAACCGATTAAACTTGTGCAACGCAATAATATATTGTTGCAGGGTACTCAGAAAGAGGTAGAAGGAGTTCTTGCATATATTTTTAAGATTTCAGACCTGTCAATTTTTCTGTATGTTCTGAGTCGCACTGCTTAACAAACTTCGCTGGCCGCGATAGCTATCTTTGTTGAAACTGGCAAGCTCGGTTACGGGCGGCAAAGGGAGGTAATAAAATCATCGGCTCAAGCCATAGATGCATCCAGGGTATAGTGGAGACTTATCGAATCTATACCCTGGAGATTATCGAGGATGCGCCGGAGATTGAACCATCGGATTAATGAATCAACAATTGACGTGTTAATATAGTAAACAAGATTGGTAACAGCTTGAGTCTAACGCGGCCTGACCGCAGTTAGTTACCTTAACCTATAGCATGCTTGTGCAGTGTTTCAAGTACCCAGGGCGTGGGGTAACCATGTGGTTCAAGTGTTGGCTCGTCACGCCGAGGCCCAGGTTCGATTCCCCACATGGTTACAATGTGTGAAGCCCATTTCAGGTGTCCCTGCTGTGATATTACTGTAATATTGCTAAAGGCGGCATAAAACTAAACTCACTCACTCTAAGTAGCCACTTCAACACATAGCAGTGTGTTGTTCCAAGTCCCGGATCAGTTAATAATAATCCACAGCCCACTTATCAACATGTACACCTACATAAACGGTGGACACACGAACACGTGCGTACACCTAGTTGCGGGTATAGTAACGTGCAGTATCATTGGACAAAACACTGTGACTATGTGTCCCAGTTCACCTAGCTGCAAATGGGTACCTTGTGAGGATGAGGCTGTGTGATAACCTCGCATTAGCCTGAAAGGCTGCATGAGCTGAATACTCCCAGGGGAGTTGAGCTGGTTAAAAGATTGCCAGAAAAAGACATCTGTTGATCAAGGGAACACTCAAGCACCTTGAGCATGTACTAGTTGTGTGGATATGTGCACTAAATAAATATCCTATCAAATATAACGATGTGAAAAATGATTTGGGGCCCACATGTACAGGATCATTTTGTTTATCTCACACTGATTGTAAATAAAACTGTTGTACCTCATGTTGTCTAAATAGATAGGTATCACTGTACATACTTAAGTTGCAAATCAAAACAAAACCATTTCAAGTGGAAATACACCTGGGACATGTATCTAAGAAAGCAGACAAAACCAACTATCAATATAATGAGCAACACACCATGAAAACAGGATACAGTAACACACAATGAAACAATGTACAACATCTATGGTTGCTAGGCAAGAACTGTGCCACCCTGGAACCCTCACAGAGGTGAAACCTGGAAGGAAACAACTTACTTCAGATTCATGCAGAGCGGCATGAAGGACGCCAAGATGGCCACAGTCTCCCGGTCAGTCCCACCTGCCACAAACTGGGAACAGAAACATATACAGGACACTCACACGTAAACAAATAATCTCCCCATAAAGAGTTTAACAAATAATCTCCCCATAAAGAGTTTAACAAATAATGAGAAGAACATCACGAGCAAAATACAGTCTTAACAGTGTTCAACAGTCTTAACAGTGTTCAACAGTCTTAACAGTGTTCAACAGTCCTAATAGTGTGTTCAACAGTCTTAATAGTGTTCAACAGTCTTAATACTGTTCAACCGTCTTACTAATGTTCAACCGTCATAATAGTGTTCAACCGTCTTAACAGTGTTCAACAGTCTTAACAGTGTTCAACAGTCTTAATACTGTTCAACCGTCTTACTAGTGTTCAAGTCCCGTCATAATAGTGTTCAAACCGTCTTAATAGTGTTCAACAGTCCTAATAGTGTTCAACAGTCTTACTAGTGTTCAACAGTCTTAATAGTGTTCAACAGTCTTAATAATTTGTTCAACCGTCTCTTACTAGTGTTCAACCGTCTTAATAGTGTTCAACCGTCTTAATAGTGTTCAACAGTCCTAATAGTGTTCAAACAGTCTTACTAGTGTTCAACAGTCTTAATAGTGTTCAACAGTCTTAATACTGTTCAACCGTCTTACTAGTGTTCAACGATCTTAATAGTGTTCAACAGTCTTAATAGTGTTCAACAATCTTAATAGTGTTCAACCGTCTTAATAGTGTTCAACAGTCTTAATACTGTTCAACCGTCTTTACTAGTGTTCAACCGTCTTAATAGTGTTCAACCGTCTTACTAGTGTTCAACCCGTCTTAACAGTGTTCAACCGTCTTAACAGTGTTCAGCAGTCTTAATAGTGTTCAACGTTTTAACATTGTTCAACAGTCTTAATAGTGTTCAACAGTCTTAACAGTGTTCAACAGTCTTAATAGTGTTCAACAGTCTTACTAGTGTTCAACAGTCTTAATAGTGTTCAACAGTCTTAATAGTCTTCAACAGTCTTAACAGTGTTCAACAGTCTTAACAGTGTTCAACAGTCTTAACAGTGTTTGATCAAGGGAACACTCAAGCACCTTTGAGCATGTACTAGTTGTGTGGATATGTGCACTAAATAAATATCCTATCAAATATAACGATGTGAAAAATGATTTGAGGCCCACATGTACAGGATCATTTTGTTTTATCTCACACTGATTGTAAATAAAACTGTTGTAAACCTCATGTTGTCTAAATAGATAGGTATCACTGTACATATCAGTCTTGATAGTGTTCAACCGGCTTTACTAGTGTTCAACAGTCTTAATAGTGTTCAACAGTCTCAATAGTGTTCAACAGTCTTAATAGTGTTCAACGGTCTTAACAGTGTTCAACAGTCTTAACAGTGTTCAATAGTCTTACTAGTGTTCAACAGTCTTACTAGTGTTCAACAGTCTTAATAGTGTTCAACAGTCTTGATAGTGTTCAACCGTCTTAACAGTGTTCAACAGTCTTAATAGTGTTCAACCGTCTTAATAGTGTTCAACAGTCTTAATACTGTTCAACCTGTCTTACTAGTGTTCAACCCGTCTTAATAGTGTTCAACCGCCTTACTAGTGTTCAACCGCCTTAACAGTGTTCAACCGCCTTAACAGTGTTCAGCAGTCTTAATAGTGTTCAACGTTTTAACATTGTTCAACAGTCTTAATAGTGTTCAACAGTCTTAACAGTGTTCAACAGTCTTAATAGTGTTCAACAGTCTTACTAGTGTTCAACAGTCTTAATAGTGTTCAACAGTCTTAATAGTGTTCAACAGTCTTAACAGTGTTCAACAGTCTTAACAGTGTTCAACAGTCTTAACAGTGTTCAATAGTCTTTAACAGTGTTCAACCGTCTTAACAATGTTCAACAGTCTTAACAGTCTTCAACTGTCTTAACAGTGTTCAACAGTCTTCATAGTTTTCAACCGTCTTAACAGTGTTCAACAGTCTTAACAGTGTTCAACCGCCTTAACAGTGTTCAACAGTCTTCATAGTTTTCAACAGTCTTGATAGTGTTCAATAGTCTTAACAGTGTTCAACAGTCTTAACAGTGTTTAACAGTCTTAATAGTGTTCAACAGTCTTGATAGTGTTCAACCGCTCTTACTAGTGTCTCAGCGATCTTACATTAGTGTTCAACAGTCTTAATAGTGTTCAACAATCTTAATAGTGTTCAACAGTCTTAATAGTGTTCAACGGTCTTAACAGTGTTCAACAGTCTTAACAGTGTTCAACAGTCTTACTAGTGTTCAACAGTCTTGATAGTGTTCAACCGTCTTACTAGTGTTCAACAGTCTTAATAGTGTTCAACAGTCTCAATAGTGTTCAACAGTCTTAATAGTGTTCAACGGTCTTACTAGTGTTCAACAGTCTTAACAGTGTTCAATAGTCTTACTAGTGTTCAACAGTCTTACTAGTGTTCAACAGTCTTAATAGTGTTCAACAGTCTTGATAGTGTTCAACCCGTCTTAACAGTGTTCAACAGTCTTAATAGTGTTCAACAGTCTTAACAGTGTTCAACAGTCTTACTAGTGTTCAACAGTCTTACTAGTGTTCAAAGAAAGTCTTAATAGTGTTCAACAGTAAGCCTGGAAGAGCTATAATGCTGATATGAAAGACATAAGATAACATTTCCAAGATTCATATGCCAACACAGAATCAATAGAATTACTTTCAAACCAGCTGGCTTACTTTGAACATAAAGTTTAGGGGACATGCTTCTCCACAAAATTCAAATTACAATCACAGCCCCTTAGCCATAAATTATGAATGGTCCTTTAGTCTCCAGCTCCATGGTGACAGGTATTTGATAACACATTTTTCCAATTTCAGTAAAATGTTTAAATAATCGACTCACTTGATTGTATGTAGCCTCTCCATGGCCGGCCAGCACTGTTTGAATATGTTCATCATACACTCGTCAACCTTCCAACCTGGAAACAGAAACCATGGGTTACTTCCCCTTGTCCCATGCAGCCTCCTTCATACACACCCTGCATTAGAGCTTGCTAACATGACATCTACTGACAGGCTACTCTCCCCATCAACTGTACATACAGCCTGTTATTTTAGTGTCCATGTATACTAATGAATTCACTCTATTTCCGGTCATGTTAACATATATGAATGTATATTTTCAGTAACAGTGTCCACATATATACCCACGATTGTATATTTCAGTGACAGTGTCCACATATACCCACCACAGATGTATATTTCAGTGACAGTGTCCACATATACCCACCACAGATGTATATTTCAGTGACAGTGTCCACATATACCCACCACAGATGTATATTTCAGTGACAGTGTCCACATATACACACCACAGATGTATATTTCAGTGACAGTGTCCACATATACCCACCACAGATGTATATTTCAGTGACAGTGTCCACATATACCCACCATGGATGTATATTTCAGTGAGTGTCCACATATACCCACCACAGATGTATATTTCCCAGACAGTGTTCACATATACCCACCACAGATGTATATTTCAGTGAGTTATAACCAGGGTATTTAGAGTTGAAAATATTATATACATTTTATAATATTTAAGGAAAATTTGAAGTTAAGTTCAGAAGGGTGAATGTACTGGGAAAGTCGTTGACCAAGCTAACTGAACTGTTATTGATTTACTTTTCTTGGGAATAACAAATTCTCTCAATTGACATAAATGAGGGTGAAACGTTCAAACTGGTGTTCCTACACAAATTGGGTGGATGGACATTTGGGATACAGATGGTCAGTTTGGTCAGTTTGTCAATAAAGGGGCATGCATAAGATCTGAAATGATTTTTGATTAAGTATCTAGTAGTGTCTACTAGTCTGAGGATACTAGTTAGATATGCCAACGTTAGGAGTTGATGTATGGCTTAAGGATAACTAGAAATGTCATTTTATCACTGGAAGAAATTGATGGTACCAAATAAAGTCTCCGAAAGGGACTAATGAAAATAACTAATTATCAAGATTGGATATGAGTCATTTCGGGGGAGGAGCCCAGAAATTGTGAAGAAAACTAAAACTAGTGACTGAGAGAGAGGAGGGAGAGACTGGAGCCCCTGCTGTTGACTTGAGAGGTTCTCTCTGCACATGGAGAGATTGGCTCAGATGGAATTGTAACTTTAGTAATTGTGAAAAAGAAACCAACAAGTTCTTCCAGGAGATGTGTGAATCTGTGTTACATGTAAACCAGGACATCTAGGAAATATTTGAGGACTTTTGTGAAAGAAATCATGTTAAAATAAACCGGACTTGAACACCATACTGGACTTATCCTTGATTATCCATCTAGCTACATCATCCCCAGAACCAGAGTGGCTAGACAGATTGCCTAGGTAATAAGGGTACAACTTGAAAAACCTAAGGTAATAAATGGTGGAGTTGCTTTAAGTTCTCTGTACCATGCTCAAAAGCTTTTCCTGCTGTGTGAAAAAGTTATGATTGTGTTGGACTTGCAATTCATGTGAAAAGCAAAATAACGTGAACTGTTTCCATCTCCTGCTATGGGTATGTGCTATGTGGACCTGGAAGAGACTGTTGCCATTCATGGTAGGTTATGTCCTGATTTACTGAAAAGGGTGCATTTTGCCTTTCAACCGTGTGAGGACCTCTCCACGCCTGACAGTGAACATTAAATCTGTGGGCCCCCGGACTTATTGATTTTCTGGACAGTGTGGTCACTACCACTACAGTGTTATTGATTTCCTGGTGTTGGACAGTTTCAGCGGGACAGACCCTCACAGCAGCCTACTGTGTGTGATTAGTAACTTTCTTCAGTGTGCATTGACTGTTTAGTTTGTGTACTGTGAATCTGACATTTATCTATCTTGTTACTATTGTTTGTACCAATTATGTGTTATATCGCGTCATGTCATCTGATGATAAGGGTACAGTAGTTAAGTTTTCTACTCCCACTAACCATTCCAATGCCTCTCTTGATTTGCCAGCATTCTCACCAAGTTTCGCTACTTTAACTGAGCCAGTTGTTAGATCTCTAATTAGTGCTTCTTTTATTTCTCCTACTTCTCAGAAAGAGTTAGATTGTTTTGGAGAGTCTACTGTTGATACAACTGTTAATTTCAAAATGCCGTATGTCAATGAAGAGAGTGGAGTGACTAGAGTTAAGAAAGAGGGTCAGTCTAGTTTCTTTTGCAGTATGATGGGGAACGCCCAGACAGACTAGACAGAAGTGTTTGTACATTGGCTAATACATTTGCCCATAGTCACATCAATTGTGAGAAATTAGATGGAAGTGAATCAGGTGAGGCCAGTGCTTGGTTGAAACGTTATGAAAAGTTTACCTCTCTGAACAATTATTCTGATGAGGGCAAGAACGAAGCTTTCATTTTGTGGCTAGATGGCAAAGCTTTTAAATGGTTCGAGGCAAAAGATTTTTAGGATGATACCTGGGAGGAAGTAAAGCTGCTTTTCTTGCTAGGTACAAGCAAAATTCTGTGAAAATTTATGATAGGTTAGATAAGCTGTACAGTAGGAAGCAGAAAGACTCTGAGAACTTTGAGGGACTTCCTACAAGACCTTGAACATGAGGCAAGGAGTCTTTATCGTTTTAACGACAATTTTGTCAAGGATGCTGTAATCAGGAACTCCAAACCTCAGATAAAGCAATTTATCTTGACCAGGCCCTCACGATACAAAAAGATGAGGTGCTGGAGAGTGCAAGGATGGGAGACGCAGCTTTTGGTAGTGCATCGCCCTCCTCAGATAGACTTGTAGCTGTTATTGAGGACTTAAAGGGACAAATATTATCCTTGACATCGAGGGAGAATTCAAGGGACCAGAGAGACAATTCATATGGACGTGACTACAGAGACAATTCATATGGACGGCGTAGTGCTTCTCCTCGCCGGGTGACATTCCAGAGTGACATTCGGGACAATTCAGGATTTCAGCCTCAAGAGCCTAGTGGGACACAGAACTTTTATAGCTCTCAGGGACAGAAACCCGGATCTCTGTATCAGAGGTCTAAGTCCATAGACAGACCTGGGTACTATGGACCATATGAACCATATGGATGGTACACAGATGCCACATCCTATGAGGATATGCAGAGGTTGCGGTAGGACACATTTTAGTATGTCTGAGTACTTTGCTAGAATATTACAATGTTATTGATGTGGTAGGATTGCCACATTAGCTGATTCTGTTTTTCTGAGCCAAACTTTTGCCAAAGTCACAGTGTGACACATATTGTGTGAACCTGGTGATGAATTAGCACACATTCATGATAATGCTATTAAGAGCGGTAGGCACACATTTACAATTGAAGATGATCAAGAGCCAAATCACAGTAAGAATATTGATTTGAGTGATGTTGTTATTTTGACATGTAGTGTGGGACTATCCCATAGCAGTGTTAGGGTTAAGATTCAGGGAAATCATGCAATGTGCTATGTGACTCAGGTGCAAGTTTGAGCTGCATGAAATCAGATATGTTTTCTCATTTAACAAGAATGAGAGCTATTTTCCCTATTACAAGACAAGGTGCAAGGGCATTGGTTGGAGCAGATTGGAATCAGTTAAATGTTTTAGGTATATCTCAAGCATTGATCAAGCATTTCATGTACATTCAACATATCTGTTGATGCATTGTTAGGTTTACATTTTTTGTTACAGAGACAGAAAACTACCACTGATTTAAGTCTAGCAATGGATTGACTCATTAACTTACACTTAAGGACTTGCAGAGACAAAGTTTATTGCTTCTTTGCTAATTCCAGTGTCCAGTATAGAGACACTATTACATGTTAAGTGAATAACCCAGACACTGAATTAGGAGTCATTGAACCAATTGAGTCTGTTACAAGATTTTTACATGTGTTAGGGTACTAGAGGTATCACTTCACCTATAAATCAAATAGCATCATTTAGATTGATAAACACTACCAGTTGAGAAATTAATATACCTGCTTTGGTAGGAATCTGGGTAATAGAGAAAGTTGTCTTTGAGAATATGTATAGTGAGACCAATACTGGAAACAGCTCACACATTATACAACAAGTTGACACAGGTGACAGTTTTTACCAAGTTGACTGACAGTAGGACTCGAGTGTCAGGTTGATTTGACTGATAGTGTTGAAGACTATATGACAAATCCTGATATGGTTTTGGCCATGCACTCAGGTACACATGGTAACTTGCCTCCATGTCGGATAAACACAGTGACCTGTCATTACAGGTTGGCTCACCTATTCATGGCCCATCTATCTGTGTACCCTGTTAATGGAGCAGGTAACAACGTCAGATTGTTTAATGATGTACACATACACACTGTACCTGTTGGTGATGACACAGGTAGGTCATCTGGTGTCACTGATATGACTACAGGTAAGTCATCGGGTGACACTGGCATGACTATAGGTGAGTGTTCAGGTATGTCCACAGGTACACCATCAGGTGTTCCCAGGTGTATCAATATGTGATATAAGTTAGAGCAGGAAATCACAGGTGGTACCACAGGTGTAGTTACACCTACCCAGGTATGTTTCCAGATACCTTACCTGAATCTGATTTTGACAATTTAATGTCTGCTGTAAGTGACATGACAGACAAACCAAATAGTTGTTTTAGGGACGAAAATTGGTTAATTAAGTAGGAAATACAATCAATCTTAGCAAGGACCATTCTTTGGAACCAGTCCTGCAACAGAGGACAGACAAATTGAAGCAATAGAGAATGTATGTTGGATTACAGGAGGAAATTGTACGAGGTCCGGTATGTAGGTGTCACAGAAAGTGAATAGGTCCTATGGGAATTTCTCCCAGCAGAAATAGTGGAAGATTTCCATGTCAGAAAAACAATGAAAGGAAAAGTGAAATGGAAGCAAAATACCGAAGGATAAGACTCCTGATCAAAATGTTCCTGAATCTCTGAGTATAAGATAGTAAGACATATTTCTAAGTCCCACTTTATCATGACACGTGTCAACTTATATGGGTACCCAAAAGTTATGAGAATGGTTATGGAAAAGTCGCGGAGGACATGCCCGCGCCTATGAGAATTGATGTATATGAGGCGGAGAGACCGCATTTGTGAGAATTGATGAATATGAAGCAGAGGGACATGCCTGCACTATGAGAATTGATGTATATGAAGCGGAGAGACCGCACCAGTGAGACTTGATGAATTTGTAGCGGAGAGAGACCGCCTTGGTTATGAAGCAGAAGGACTGCATTCGTGAACGGAAAAGCTCAAAAGAGTCTAGAGATGACTGACACTCTCTAGTGTGGGGTAGATTGGCATCTACCTCAGGTTGCTGAAATATGAGGACAGTCGAGAAAGACTAACGATGAATTCATTGGAGGACGAAGGATGGAGTGTCGATCTATCTCGTGAGCCTGGGTGAAGACCTATAAATCGGTCGTGGAATGTAAGCTGAGGCCAATTACATCAATGGGAGACAAAAAATTTTTCCTGGTCAGAGGCGCTTTATGAGTACAAGACGTACAATCTATTTGGATAGACCAAAGTAAGAGATTAACATAGGAATGACTACCTATGACTGGGACAGAACTGACTTAAGTGATTAAAACAGTTTAACAAGACCTTCTAGATGGAATATTTGACTGACTCAACGAAAGTACCGCGTGCGGTTATTTTCTCATGAACTAAGGCTGTATGAACAGTGTAACTGTTCTTCAGTTAATTGAATGTTACAAACATTATCTATGAGATATTGATACGTTGTAGGGTACATTGGTGACGCACCAATTGGGATTGTTAAATATTCCTATATTTGAGAGAGATACTGACTTGATGATTAGGAGAGGAACAGTATTTGAAAACAGGAACTTATTCGGATGTTTGTGTTCTACAGGACCCTTCGGGCTTCACAATTAAAGTGATGATGACACTTCTGACGATGTGGAACTTAATACCACTGACGATATGTGTTTTAGATACCTATGGGTTTCTTTGGGGTACTACCTTTAGTCATTATAAGGGGAGAAATCTTGACGTATGAACAGACACAGAATCATACATTGGTAATAAAATAGACTTCCAAAGGACAGAAATACTCAAATACTACACAGCTTCTAAGGTACAGACATTACCCTACTACTATGTTTCTATGATGTTACCAGTAAAGTCCAATGACAGAAAAACTCAACTTTATCAAGGAAAGTCGTTCGAAAGAGTGTCTTCAAGAGCCATATAAAAGTTAGCAGAAGAGAATAAGATAATTTACATATACCCAACTGACTCTATCTTAATGAATAGATGGTCTATGATTGGGAACATGCAATGGATATCAAGACCATATCTCATATATGGGTGATTATTTGTACTCATAATTTTATTCATTTTCTGTTTCCACTGGTACATGGAAGTGAACAATATCCAATACTTATTCATGAGTTAGGTAGTCTTTCTGCTCCACCCACCTTGCTCAACAGTAACACAAACAAGATATAAAGTTAATTTCACCTTCAGTTCCTTCAAAACAGGAGAACTTTGTGATGACTTTCAAGTTTCATTTTGAAAGCTGATGTGACTTTGAATTATCTAATTCATTTTACAAACTTACTTGAACTCAGGACGTACTAGTGTCCTCATGTATAAATGATTCCATATTGTATTCTGATGTTGCATGCTTTGTACATTTATAATCTGGATGTATAATATGGTGTTGTAAAACTATCATGATTTGTAAAGAAAAAAACCAGAAGAAAATGTTCAAGAATCCAAACTTTCGATATTTGATTTGTAATACCTATAATGTTTAAATTTTTATACTCAATCAGCAATTGCTACTTTAAAATGTTATTTACTCTAACATGTCTTCTACACTTCTCAGATAGGTACAACCTAAGACAGATCCTATCTGAGACACTTCTACCTGTACTTGAATTTTTGCGTTTTCTGGTCCTCAAATATGTAGTTACTTATTTAATATTTCTCATTGATATTATATTCTTGACTTATTAATATGTAAACAATTGATATGTATTTGATATATGTGTATGTATGTTAGAACTTAAGCCATTTATCAGTCGCATGGGACATGCTCTACAACAGGAGGAGGGGCATGTATAACCAGGGTATTTAGAGTTGAAAATATTATATACATTTTATAATATTTAAGGAAAATTTGAAGTTAAGTTCAGAAGGGTGAATGTACTGGGAAAGTGCGTTGACCAAGCTAACTGAACTGTTATTGATTTACTTTTCTTTGGGGAATAACAAATTCTCTCAATTGACATAAATGAGGGTGAAACGTTCAAACTGGTGTTCCTACACAAATTGGGTGGATGGACATTTGGGATACAGATGGTCAGTTTGGTCAGTTTGTCAATAAAGGGCATGCATAAGATCTGAAATGATTTTGATTAAGTATCTAGTAGTGTCTACTAGTCTGAGATACTAGTTAGATATGCCAACGTTGGGTTGATGTATGGCTTAAGGATAACTAGAAATGTCATTTTATCACTGGAAGAAATTGATGGTACCAAATAAAGTCTCCGAAAGGGACTAATGAAAATAACTAATTATCAAGATTGGATATGAGTCATTTCGGGGAGGAGCCCAGAAATTGTGAAGAAAACTAAAAAACTAGTGACTGAGAGAGAGGGGAGAGACTGAGCCCTGCTGTTGACTTGAGAGGTTCTCTCTGCACATGGAGAGATTGGCTCAGATGGAATTGTAACTTTAGTAATTGTGAAAAGAAACCAACAAGTTCTTCCAGGAGATGTGTGAATCTGTGTTACATGTAAACCAGGACATCTAGGAAATATTTGAGGACTTTTGTGAAAGAAATCATGTTAAAATAAACCGGACTTGAACACCATACTGGACTTATCCTTGATTATCCATCTAGCTACATCATCCCCAGAACCAGAGTGGCTAGACAGATTGCCTAGGTAATAAGGGTACAACACCCCGAAAACCTAAGGTAATAGAGTGTCCACATATACCCACCATGGATGTATATTTCAGTGACAGTGTCCACATATACCCACCACGGATGTATATTTCAGTGACAGTGTCCACATATACCCACCACGGATGTATATTTCAGTGACAGTGTCCACATATACCCACCACGGATGTATATTTCAGTGACAGTGTCCACATATACCCACCACGGATGTATATTTCAGTGACAGTGTCCACATATACCCACCACAGATGTATATTTCAGTGACAGTGTCCACATATACCCACCACGGATGTATATTTCAGTGACAGTGTCCACATATACCCACCACGGATGTATATTTCAGTGACAGTGTCCACATATACCCACCACAGATGTATATTTCAGTGACAGTTTTCACATACCACAGATGTATATTTCAATGACAGTGTTCACATATACCCACCACAGATGTATATTTCAGTGACAGTGTTCACATATACCCACCACAGATGTATATTTCAGTGACAGTGTTCACATATACCCACCACAGATGTATATTTCAGTGACAGTGTTCACATATACCCACCACAGATGTATATTTCAGTGACAGTGTCCACATATACCCACCACAGATGTATATTTCAGTGACAGTGTCCACATATACCCACCACGAATGTATATTTCAGTGACAGTGTCCAGCTTGTCAGGGTTGTCCATCTCCACCTGTATCGATGGCTTGAAGTACTCAAACTTGTCCTTCACAGTGTACGTCTTGGGAGGAGGCTCCACTGGCTCTGGTAGCAAGCAATCAGGAATTCAGTGACAGTTACACAACCTTTTGTTTGTTGTTTTGTACTGCACTTAGCAATATTCCACTCATATCAGAGAGGTCTGTAAATATTTGAGTCTGGACCTGACAATCCAGTGATTGGCATCACGAGCAACAATCCATGCAATCAGGACATGATGACATGTGTCAACCAAGTCAGTCTGACCACTACATGTATTTAGTCAGCCTCTTATGACAAGCTGCTATGAACAACATCACTACACAGCATCCCTCCAGGTCCAGTAAAACATGGCTTTAATATGCTGTTAAATGAATGTTAATAATGTTAACTGAAATGACATTGTCAGTTGAAATGATGTTGGTTTTATCAACTGGTTTCAATTGGAATTTTTGAAAATGAAAATGAATTAACTGATCAATAAGGCTGATGCCCAAAAAAAATAGGAACAGGATTCCTGTATGATTCAATACATAAAGGCATGATACATGATTCAATACATAAAGGCATGATACATGATTCAATACATAAAGGCATGATACATGATTCAAACGGAGAAGACCTCATATTCCATGCAACAGATGTAAACCTCAAGGACACCCTTACTTTTGAACACTGTCTACTTAATAACACATCATATTCAACCCGTATTTGAGGACTGGTAGTTTAAAGGTATAAAAAAGGAAAAAGCAAAAACACAATATGATTATAAATATATGAAATAAGATTTAAATAAGACTTTATAAAATAATTGAATGACTAAGCATACACAATCAAAACCACACTAAAAGAAGGAAAAAAGTAATGATTGAAAATAACTGAAAACAGCCCCTTGGACAAGCGATGCGATCTGCATCCCTGATGGTCCTCAAAGAAACAGATAAAGAAAGTAATAGAACTGGGTTTTCTCTTTAATACTAGAAATAAGCAGATGAGAAGAAATGAAAAGAAACAAAATAAACGTTTACCACCGTCCTCGTCTAACAAAGGTTCCGGGTCTGGTTCCGGGGCACTGACTTGTTTGTTTTTATCCCTTCCTTTCTCTGGTTTACCTTCCGCAACCTGACTGGGAGATGGCGCCGGCGGCCGCGGGCGTGGAACTATCTGTGGGACAAATGTCATGTCTTGCCTATGACACAACTCAGCAAAGTCGGACTGGAACAGCCCGGAGCAGTTGTATGGCTCTGAAACAAACATGAGTCCAAAACTTTGTGATCCTGTTGCAGCCAAGATTGAAAAAATTAACTTGAGGACCGAACCTGTCACTAAGAGATTTCCTCCCCTCCTCCTTTGTCACATGAGTAGACAATGGGAATGTTTTCATATATTGTATCCATAAGGAGAATTGAATCAGGGCCTTGAACGATTAGGCTATTTTACTGCAAGCTGGACATAATACATCAGTAATAATGGATATGAATAACCTCTGATATATTATACCAAACACAAATTGGATTTGGTCCTGTTGTGAAGAGGCAATCAATGTTCTGCTTCTGTCTCAGAGATGCTTAAAACTAAAAGGACATGATTCGTCAAGCTCCAGGTCTGAAATCTAATTAAAGTTATCCATCAAGTTGCTAACCTGTCGAACAGTATTCAATCAAAATTATCAAATTACAATAAAGATATCTTGAAACTACTTATATTATCTTAAACTGATAAATATAAACAATTAAAAAAACATATCAATATGACCAGTAAACAAAAAAGCACCTGTTTACTAATTTTGACCAACATAACAGCAAAAGGAAATTATCTTCAAATTTCTAATATAGAAAAGGAGGTGATTCTCAGGTCCACTTCTGAATTCTGATTAAAGACAATGATCAAGTTGTTAATATGTCCAACTTTCTTCTCCATATAAGGATATTATGTACCTCTTTCTACAAAACCTTCATTGTTATCTTGATGTCAAGGAGAGCATCTCAAAATACATTCAGGTTTTCCATAATACTGAACATGTGGAGTGTCAGTGTTAAGCAAAGGTAATGATACTATTGATAGCATGATCGGGTTTGAGAAGCTATGCTTAGCCCTAAATAAGAATACTAAAATTATAACTTTCTGTCTGTCTGACCTATGTCAGTCACCAATTCTAAATCCTAATTACAGAGCCAAAAGGTATTGCTATTATTACAAACCTGGGGTTTTGTTGGAATCCTCGTCTTGGGCATCTTGACTTGATGATGACTGGTTCTTGTCTTTGCCTAAAGTCTTGTCACCCTTGCGACCCATTTTGATTCTTGCTGCGATGCTGAAATAATAAAAATCGTGATAATAGTGGAATGAATCAACAGATGGCCAACACTGTCTAGCCTGACATACACGAGAATATTATGCCGTCATCTGTCGAAAATATCATATGCATACAAACAAACATGACACACATAATATGAGGAAACAGTACTTCTTTCACTGCTTTCCTCCTCTTTCCATCTGCAACCATTTGTAAACAATCGTTCACCGAATTGCATTTACCGGAAGCAAGCGGAGTAGAAATAGTTCATCTATAATAGTCCAGTGCTCCGCTTTTGGACTTGTACCAGAGACATCCATATCGTTCCAAAGATCAAAACAATGTACGATCATCCTTGAACATAAACTGACATGTTAGAGAGCCATCTCAAAAAATAGAGATATTATTACTACGCCAAGTGATTAGCGAGCCTAGCAACTGAATAAGAGTGGTCTCCCCTTGGCACACATACACAGTCTGTTCTATGCCACTTTGGTTCGCGTTTTTATATCTTAAACACAAAGGAATCAGTGTGTGAATAAGAAAATGACTGAATAAATTAAAAGATTAACAGACACGTAAAATTAATGACGTATATGTAACAAGTGAAGACTGCAACACAAGACCTGTTCAAGTCTGCCAGGAGGATGCTATTGATATTATTATGATATTTCTTTAGTGTTATATATATCAATGAAAAATGGAGAAATTTTTTGCAAACTTTTGTGTTTTCGGCTCATATAACTAAGAATAAGGCCCTTGTGACATTTTGTCACGGCCCATTTGACTTTCACTACGGCCCATTTGACTTTTCATCAGCCTATACTTGGCACCTCTCGGCCCTTTGTCCTTCGGCCCATTTGACTAGATCCCATGTAACAATGTAAAAATGATTTTGTTCCGAGTAGTAAATGTTCCAGTTCGGAATAAATGCCGTGAAATAGAGAATGGATGACACGAATAAAAATTCCGAACATACGGCAAATATTATATCGAACAGGAACAAATACCATAAGCCTAATCTATTCCAGTCATTATTGAATGCAAAATGGAATCATCCAACTTGTCAACATCCGGGATGTCTACTAACTTCAACTTGGTTACATACTGACTGTAACCTGGCTACAGACTGAATGTAACTTAACATGTTGACTGTAATTTGATTACTGACTAACTTAACTTGGTTACATGTTGACTGTAACCTGGCTACTGACAGTAACTTGGTTACATGTTGACTGTAACCGGGCTACTGACTGTAACTTGGTTACATGTTGACTGTAACCTGGATACTGACTGTAACTTGGTTACATGTTGACTGTAATGATGGATACTAACTGTAACCTGGATACATGTTGACTGTGACCTGGATACTGACTGTAACTTGGTTACATGTTGACTGTAACCTGGATACTGACTGTAACTTGGTTACATGTTGACTGTAACCGGGCTCCTGACTGTAACTTGGTTACATGTTGACTGTAACCTGGATACTGACTGTAACTAGGTTACATCGTGACTGTAACCTGGATACTGACTGTTACTTGGTTACATGTTGATTGTAACCTGGATACTGACTGTAACTTGGTTACATGTTGACTGTAACCTGGATACTGACTGACTGTAACTTGGTTACATATTGACTGTAACCTGGATACTGACTGTAACTTAAGTTACATGTTGACTGTAACCTGGATACTGACAGTAACTTGGTTACATGTTGACTGTAACCTGGATACTGACTGTAACTTGGTTATATATTCACTGTAACCTGGATACTGACTGACTGTAACTTGGTTACATGTTGACTGTAACCTGGATACTGACAGTAACTTGGTTACATGTTGACTGTAACCTGGATACTGTTCTGTAACTTGGTTACATGTTGACTGTAACCTGGCTACTGACTGTAACTTGGTTACATGTTGACTGTAACCTGGCTACTGACTGTAACATGGTTACATGTTGACTGTAACCTGAATACTGACTGTAACTTGGGTTACATCGTGACTGTAACCTGGATACTGACTGACTAATTAACTTGGTTACATCGTGACTGTAAACTGGATACTGACTGACTAATTAACTTGGTTACATATGGACTGTAACTTGGATACTGACTGTAACTTGGTTACATGTTGACTGTAACCTGGATACTGACTGTAACTTATTTACATGTTCACTAACCTGGCTACTGACTAACAGTAACTTGATTACATATTGACTGTAACTTGGCTACTGACTGTAACCTGATAACATATTGACTGTAACCTGGATACTGACTGACTGTAACTTGGTTACATGTTGACTGTAACCTGGATACTGACTGGACTTGGTAACTTGATACTGACTGACATGTAACTTGTTTACACGGTAACCTGATTAACGAAGGTAACTTGGTTACATATTGACTGTAACCTGATTAATGAAGGTAACTTGGTTACATAATGACTGTGAACTCTTTTTAACACAAGATTCATTTAGAATCATCAGTTCGCATTCTGCGGAATCTATTTTCATAAAAAATGTACGGAACTTTCACACATGATAATTGCTCCTTGATAGCCACATGATTTGTTCCATATGGAACAAATACCGTAGGAAAAATCCCTTTTTCCTTTCCGTCTCCCGCGCCCCAATTTTAAGACTTCAACCCCAACAAACAAAACCTTCTTTTAGACACTTTAGGATGTGTGTGAAAGTTCCTATTTACCGGAATAAATTTTCTGTATACGGAACTAAATAATTGTTCAGCATGCACTATTACAGGAACAAATATTGAAATGAAAAGTTCCAACGGAACCTTTACTATGGGGAACCAAATCTTGTTTTACACCAATACACAATTCATCGCTTTGATATGTTTCCTGATGAAAATATTATGTTTATAACTGACCCTCCAAGGATGTTACTGTGTATCTAGCCCGTTGAAAAATGTGAATTTGCAAAAGAATAATTCTGCTTTGCTTTCATCTAATAAAGTATAATTAGTTCCAAACAAAGCACCCATTTACCAAACATACCCAGAGTACAGTCCAACACTAACACATAGTTCCATACGAATATAAAGTCTTCGAATACGCCGCTTCCAGCAATATTCCAGCAACATCACGGCGGGGGACACCAGAAATGGGTTTCACACATTGTACCCATATGGGGAATCGATCGAACCCGCGTCTTCGGTGTGACGAGCAAACGGTTTAACCAGTGGGCTATTCCAACGTCCCAAATTCGAATACATAGTCTCACACCACCTAAAACGCATTGTTCCACACAACAAATATAAAGTCCGACACTACAAATAAATCGTTTCCACACAACAAATATAAAGTCCGACACAACGAATAAATCGTTCCACACAACAAATATAAGATCCGACTACAAATAAATCGTTCCACACAACAAATATAGGTCCGACACAACGAATAAATCGTTCCACACAACAAATATAAGGTCCGACACTACAAATAAATCGTTCCACACAACAAATATAAGGTCCGACACAACCAATAAATCGTTCCACACAACAAATATAAAGTCCGACACTACAAACAAATCGTTCCACACAACAAATATAAAGTCCGACACAACCAATAAATCGTTCCACACAACAAATATAAGGTCCGACACTACAAATAAATCGTTCCACACAACAAATATAAAGTCCGACACAACCAATAAATCGTTCCACACAACAAATATAAGGTCCGACACTACAAATAAATCGTTCCACAGAACAAATATAAGGTCCGACACTACAATTAAATCGCTCCACACAACAAATATAAAGTCCGACACTACAAACAAATCGTTCCACACAACAAATATAAAGTCCGACACAACAAATAAATCGTTCCACACAACAAATATAAAGTCCGACACTACAAATAAATCGTTCCACACAACAAATATAAAGTCCGACACTACAAACAAATCGTTCCACACAACAAATATAAGGTCCGACACAACGAATAAATCGTTCCACACAACAAATATAAGGTCCGACACTACAAATAAATCGCTCCACACAACAAATATAAAGTCCGACACTACAAATAAATCGTTCCACACAACAAATATAAGGTCCGACACTACAAATAAATCGTTCCACAACAAATATAAGGTCCGACACAACGAATATATCGTTCCACACAACAAATATAAGGTCCGACACTACAAATAAATCGTTCCACACAACAAATATAAGGTACGACACTACGAATAAATCGTTCCACACAACAAATATAAAGTCCGACACTACAAATAAATCGTTCCACACAACAAATATAAAGTCCGACACTACAAATAAATCGTTCCACACAACAAATATAAGGTCCGACACAACGAATAAATCGTTCCACACAACGAATAAATCGTTCCACACAACAAATATAAGGTCCGACACAACGAATAAATCGTTCCACACAACAAATAAATCGTTCCACACAACAAATATAATAAATATATTATGTTTGTTAGTGGCTTCAGTTCGTCACAATAAATGTTTATATCATTGTAATCATACATTCAAACTTGAATAATTACTTTGTGTAGTAAAGGTCGATACATTTATCAATTCTGTAAAATACAAATATTTGAGTATTTGTGAAAGTAATCTTCGTATTATGATATATTTAAGTGGTACTTAGAAGATGTGATATCATACATGCTTAAGGGTAGTCAAAAATATTAAGTTCCCTTTTTCTTTCAGTGCGCCTCAAATATCTAGCAAAGTACGTGGTAACATCAAGGTTTCACTGGAGTGTAAAGCCAAGATGAAACCCACAAGCCAATGGTAACCGTGCCTTCGTCTTTCGATTATTACTTTTCTTGATTAATTCCTATCGTTAAGTATAAAATGGATGTCAGAATCAACATGTTTAAGCCGCCAGTGTCTGGGAATATTCCAACCATTCACCGAAATACGTCTGTTTGGACAGATTAATACTGCGGTTTTTAACACCTACCCCAAGAGCGCGAGCTGGCGATATCCCCTCCTCATCTTTAGCTCCCTTCTTCTTGAATCTCTTGGCGGCGATCGAGAGACTACTGAGACCCATTTCGGCCATATTGTCGATGAAACTGACGCGTCTCCTCCCTCCATGTCAGCGGTCGAGCCTATATTTCACCTAGCTGTCACCGTGGTATGCAGGGTGGATTGTGTCTAAAGACACCCTTCTCTGTCCGAGCTCTATGACTGTCAGAGCGGCTGAATGCCTAGT